ATCAAGCGGGGGAACTCCTTCATTCCATCACTTCACCATGGCCATTCATAAAGTAGGGAATGGACATAGTCGGCCCCCTCCCAACAGGACGAGGTAAGGTACGCTTCCTTTTGGTTTTAACTGATTACTTTTCTAAATAGGTGGAAGCAAGTGCATACACTCAGATATGTGAGCAAGAGGTCATCGCGTTCATATGGAAAAACATAATATGTCGTTTTGGCATTCCCAAAGAAATCAGCTACAACAATGGACCTCTGTTTGTCGGAAAGAGAACGACTGAGTTTTTCGAAAAATGGCACATCAAACGAATACTCTCCACGCCATATCACCCTGCCGCCAATGGTCAAGTCGAATCCTCCAATAAAGTAATACTGAATATATTGAAAAAGAAGATTGAGGATGCTAAAGGGCTATGGCCTGAACTATTACCGGAAGTATTATGGGCATACCGCACTATGCCAAAAACCAGCACAGGCGAGACACCATATTCACTGATTTACATGACTGGCGCAGTTATACCCGTTAAGGTCGGAGAACCCAGTTTGAGATACTCCAACGAGAGCGGACCAAGCAACGATGAAAGTAGGCTACAAGATCTGGATGAAGTCGAAGAACGGAGAGACATGGCCCACATAAGAATGGTAGACCATAAGTAGCAAGTAGAAAGGTACTACAATAAGAGGGCCAAGGTGCGACCGCTCAAAGTCGGAGATTACATCCTCAAGGCTAAAATACAAGCAGCGAAAGACCCTAATGAGGGAAATATGGGAACAGACTGGGACGAACCATACAAAATCACAACCACATCAAACAAATGAGCATTCCAGTTAGAAATAATGGAGGGAAAACTAGTCCAAAACAACTGGAATGTCGCCCATCTCAAGTACTTCCACTTCTAAAAGAAGGCGTCACCTAAGTCGTACTCTTTTTCCCTCACTCGGGTTTTTCCCCAATCGGGTTTTCCCGGGGAGGTTTTTAATGAGGTGGTAAGGGAGACGCCTCAAGGATCGAAGTGCTATTCATTAACCCGACCCCTCGACATGATCTCCGAAGTGAAGTAATGAAGGGACTGGATATAGATAATCATCTCCATTGTATGAATATGGTCATGTGACAAAAGAATTTAATCAAATCTCCATTGTATGTGCAGAGTCGACATGTGATCCTTACAAGTATAAAATCAAACATCCATTGCATGAATAAAGACGACATATCTTCCTACGGGAATATGATCAAATCTCCAACAAAGAAATGGCCTAGGCCATCGACAAAAATATGAGTTCGACCTCATTTGAACTACAACAGGATCGTACTTCGATGACAGTTCGAAGCAACATCCCAATAACCAAGGCCATCGATAAAAACATGAGTTCGACCTCATTAGAACTACGACGGGATCCTACTTCGACGACAGTTCGAAGCAACATCCCAATGGCCAAGGCCATCACAAAAACATGAGTTCGACCTCATTTGAACTATGACGGGATCCTACTTCGACAACAGTTCGAAGAAACATACCAATGGCTAAGGCCATCGACAAAAACATGAATTCGACCTCATTCGAACTACAATGGGATCCTACTTCGATGACAGTTCGAAGCAACATCCCAATGGCCAAGACCATCGACAAAAAATATGAGTTCGACCTCGTTCGAACTACGACGGGACACTACTTCAACGACAATCCGAAGCAACATCCTAGTGGCCAAGGCCATCGACTTAATAACTTAATGGCTCGACAGTTACCATGGATATCATAAACATTGCAAAGAAGAGCCGATCGGCAAAATATATTTTACATTGCATCAAAATGTTATTTACATTTGTCTTTACAAACGGGCTCAAGTATGCCCCCCGCAAAAACCCTAAAACAAAAGCAAGTACAAACAAAGACTACACATCATCCCCGGTGGGGTAAACATCTTCGTACCACGAGTCTGAAGCAAGACGGTTCGCATCATCAGAGTTGATATCATCCCCGTCAGGAGTGAGGGGGTCGTACCTACATGCCTCACGAGCTATACGAGCTTCGGTGTGTACGGCCTGAAGCTCCGCCTCAGTAGCCCTTCCCTCGACATGAAAAGTCTTATACACGTCAATCTGAGCCTCAGCAAGGACCCACAACTCATATAAACGACCGGGCACTACCGGATCGGCTGAGGCACGAGATGTAGAAGGCTGAGAACGTTGACTTGCATCCTCCGCCCTCAACAAGGCCACTTGTCCATTTAACGCAGCCAGCTCCGCCTCTAGTTCTTTGGCACACCCTTCGAGCCCCACAACCTTACGACCAAAGGCCTCCTTCTCTTTAGCCAGCTCCGACCTGCACACGCAGAGGGCATTCTCCAAAGATGCAGTCCCAGAAATAGCTGCCACCAACTTATCAGTACCAACGATCAGCTCGCCCTTAAGCCCCTCTACCTCCACCGCCTTCGCATTTAACCCAGCGGTCAAACCAGTAACTTTTACCTACAAGCAGGCATTTTCAGCCATCACCGTCTACTCAACTCAAGCTCGTCATCCTTCACCTTAAGGGAAGCCTCGAGTTCACTATTACGAGCGACAGTCTTCATGAGCTCCTCATCCCGCTCCTTCAACTCTTCGATCTTACGCTCCAGTTGATCTTCCCGTTGTTTGAGCCCCTCACAAAACAACTGAAACTCAAGGTCTTGATGATAAATGTTGGCCATCGCACGATGCTTAGCACGATACTGTTGATATTTGGACGACATTTTATGAGTTTTTGGCAAAAATCATCCTTAAACTATCACACAAAGTGAGACTACATCCTTGTCTTACCCCACTAAACAAAAACCATCCTTGTATTATTTAAAGTGTTGCAACAATCATTCCTCCCTTAAATTTCATCACAAAACTAACAACATCCATCAAAAGAAGATGCCCATCATGTGAAATTTTCCAAGATTGCCCCTTCTTTTTCAAAGCATGTGATGACCATCTTTTTCCAACTTTTGACAACTTTTGCACTGCTTTTGTACGCATGTTTTATGAGTATATTTTTTTGCCATCTTTTTCCAACTTTTACTAAGTTTTGTCAACAACCAGGCAAAAGTCTTCTTTATCATACTAACAATCAAAAGTTATGCAGATTTTTGCTGGGAAATTTCATGCTAGATTGCAGGTCTTTAAAATGTGCCTTTTATAAAATTATTAATTATTTAAGATGGAGAGAAATGTATTAAGTATTAATAGTAAAAGAAAAAAAATAAAAATAAAACAGAAAAAAAAACCTCACACGGGACCTGGAATACATCCAGTAACTGGAACCACCAATAGAGTTTAAGGTTTTGGACAGAAGGTTTACTCCTTTTATTCATCTTGGCTATATCTTGGTGGCCTTTAACTTAGATACAAAAGACTTTACATGTAGCACTACTTTTCTTTTTATATTGAAGAACAGAAGGTTTTTCTCTAAATTATGAAGATTGTTGATCTTGTTTCATTGTTTTTTATTGAAGGCTTGAAGCTGACAGAGCTATTAATTCAAAGGTAATTGTGAAAGACAGCAAGCCAATCGACATGGAGGTTGTTGAGACTATTGAAAAAAGATCTCAAGCTCCTGTAGACTAGTGAAGTTGATTAATTAAAGATAAAACCGACAGCATTATATTAACACAGAAATCAGAAAATGAAAAGATCCAAACTCCAACAACACGAATTAAAGACACGAAAATATCAGTATTTCTTCATTATAATAAGGAGGCACAATTCTTCAACAATTGTCGCCTTGTTGAGATGACAGAAAGATGTAACTTTGTTATATAACTGTGATGTACCTCTTCTAACATGAAAGAACAAGTTAAACGCAAAATATGACTCTCTATATTTGTAAATTGTAATGAAAATAATTTAAATAATTTTTTACCGGTAGTTTTTCAACATTATGAGAACTTCATGCTCCCTCGGTCATAATAGAGTCCAAACTATAAGGGTAGTCCGATGGATGAATTTTAACAGTATTTAAAGAAGAAGTGCAAGTTCTGTTGTTGTGGCCAGGTCTGCCACATTTCTTACAATCAACTAATTTTTGTCTCTTTTTTAACTTTGTCCTACTAGCTCCTGGATCATCTTCTTCTTTCCTTCTTAATTTTTGTTTTCTCTCTTTCTTCTTCTTCTTCTTCAAGTAAGAAGGTGGCAATGGTGAAGAATTTTGTGACTTAGGCCATAAATCAGGTCCATTCATAGGCAATATGGAAACTTCATAATTTTTTCTATATGTTTCGACCTTGTAGCAATCATCAACATAGTCTAGAACCTCATCCTTTTTCAACCAAATAGCTGATATAGCATGCTTAAAGGAATTCCTGAAAGTTCCCATTTCCTACAACTGCATGTTTTGTTATATAAGTCAACAGCCCAGGCATCACCTTCCATAGGTCCAATGACTTTATAATTCCATGTGTTTGACTTTTTAGGAATATAACTAGCAACATCCTTCATAGTTTTGGCCAATGCCTTCTTGGTAGTAGGACATATGTCCCCAAATTCCATTTTTTAGCTTTCTCTCTATTTGAATTAGTTCTGGCCATGAGCAAGTGCCTAATGGTCTCTAAAAGTTTTAGAATTGGTTTATCTCTCGCATCAAGAATAAACTTATTAAACACCTCACACAAGTTATTCAACAGAATATCACACTTGGGAAGCGAAGAGAAATGTGATCTTGACCATTCACTAGGCAATTTAGTAGAAAGCCATTCATATGCATCTTTATCCAATTCAAATAAATAAGCCATACAAGCATCAAACCTGTCAATAGTTGTTGCTGAAGCTGCCTTCCAAAGAGCATTTTTTAAAGCCATGTCATTATACCCAGCTCTCTTGAAATTGGTATGCAAATGTCGCACACAAAATCTATGAGAAACATTGGGCAACACTGTTTCAAAAGCTTCAATGAGTCCTTTTTGTTTATCTGACATAAAAGTCCACAAGTACTGCTATTCAATTTCTAGATCATTCATCAAATAGGTTAAGAACCATTCTCATGTTTCCTTGTTTTCCTTCTCGACAGCTGCATAAGCTATTGGAAAGATGTTGTTATTTCCGTCCAAAGTAACTGCTGACAGTAATTGTGCCCCATACATAGTACCCTTAAGCCAACACCCATAGACCCCAATAATTTTCCTACAACCAGCCTTGAAACCAAATTTACAAGTTGCAAAGCAAACATAAATTTTTTGGAATCTCATCGGCTTGTTAGGAGTTTCATTTGGAGTTAGTTTCATGAAAACAGAAGTCCCAGGATTGCTTCTAACAATTTCATTGCAATAATCCCATAATATACTAAATTGATCATTTATATGTCCATCGATCATTGCAATAGCCTTTTCTTTTGCCCTTCTTGCTTGATGCATACTCACATGCAGTTGTAATTCTCTACTCACCGTATCTCTGAATTCTGATACTTTCCAAGTCTTATTTGATTTTATTTTATCAACATACCTCCTTGCAATCCAGCTAGCATTGACACTTTCATTATTGTAATTCCATCCAAAACAAGTATGCTCAGACTCAAACATCTTTATTTGGAAAGATAGAGTGTCCCTTTGCATTAGTGAGCCCAATATCTTCCACTTACATTCAGGCTTTCTGCATTTAGCCCTAGCTTTTTCTCGGTCATCTTTAATCCACTCGATTGACTTTCCTATTGTGGCTTGATTTGCAATCACAGCTTCCTTAAACTCTTTTTTGTTACCAAATATCATTCCCAACACTAATTTGGGATTCAGAACATCAGTTTTTGGGTTGTGTTTGGGGAAGTCACAATCTTCATTTTCAGAATCACAGTCACTATTCAAACTCTTTAAATCATCAGAATATACACAATCCGAGTCACCTTCCTCATTCTGCATCTTTCTTTGCATCTCTTCACTTACATAGTCTTGTTTTTCATTATTATTTTTTATTTTTTCCATGTATACTGATCCCAAAAGATTCAGCTGAAGGATCAACAATTTTGGAGAATAATATATCATCATCCTCCAAGGTATAATCAGAATCTTCAAAATTATCATCATGAGAATCATCAATGTTTTCTCCTACATCAACTGTTGGCAAAGAAATCATTTCCATTTCCTCGTGATGTTGACTTTTATCACCATAAAAATCTAAATGTTCAAAATATATCTCAACTACTCTCTGCTTTGGAATGCAAGTAGCAACTCTAGCAGCTTCAGTGTTGCTCCCAATTAACCGAACCTTATAAAGGTCTAAACCATACTTGTGCCAAAATACCACCGACTCCTTTTCATAACCACATTGCTCGGCCATATTCTTAAAATCTGATAGCTTTATCGTTGTCTCATTTACATAGTCAAAGTATTCAACTTTTCCACCTATGTAGCCTCTTGTTGGAGTTTGCACAAATGATCTACTATGGTGTACTTCAATTGTGAAAAGCGAGGCCTCAGAGATAGGATCTGCACATAAATATGAATGTATAAAGCTAACAAAGAAATATTAAAATAGCAGACTTCTATATCAAACAAAAAAGTTATTACAGCTTTGCAAAATCTGTAGTATTTGCATAATTTAATGTGAAAGTTATTATGCATATAATACTAAATAATCACTAACAGATAAAATATTCAATAACAGAGACTTAAAGGTCTTGAATATCAACAATACCATAGTTGGGTGTGGATGATCGACCACTTAAAAATCGATCCAACATTCTTTTTATTGTTTCTTTTGCTTCTACCCACAATACCTTGTTAATTTGAGGCGATAGCTTCTATTTTGGCCAAGATTTTTGCCCTAGATAAATCTATGAAGTTGGTATGGTAAAGAAAACTTTTGCCTGATTGTTGACAAAACTTAGTAAAAGTTGGAAAAAGATGGCAAAAAAATATACTCATAAAACATGCGTACAAAAGCAGTGCAAAAGTTGTCAAAAGTTGGAAAAAGATGGTCATCACATGCTTTGAAAAAGAAGGGGCAATCTTGGAAAATTTCACATGATGGGCATCTTCTTTTGATGGATGCTGTTAGTTTTGTGATGAAATTTAACGAAGGAATGATTGTTGCAACACTTTAAATAATACAAGGATGGTTTTTGTTTAGTGGGGTAAGACAAGGATGTAGTCTCACTTTGTGTGATAGTTTAAGGATGATTTTTGCCAAAAACTCACATTTTCTCATAAAGGCCCATCCTTTTCCTCTCCCTACGCTCTTGCTCAATATCCATGACGAGGGTTTGACAAAAAAAGGAGAAGTTAGAAACAAAATACAAAACAACGATCACCACATAAACCTAACGACGAAAAGGGAAGGAAAGACACCTACCTACAAGGCCATACCGTCGACCTTCTGAGACAACTCCGCGTCGCTCATCGCCCTAAGCACCTCATTCTTAGGGGCAACATATAGAGGATCTAGAGCAGACGCCACTTGCTCGCAGTTCAGCAGCAAGTTGTAATCCCCCAGGACGACTATGTAAACGATCAGACCCTTATGTTCTAACCTCCACGTGAGTATGGCGACCTACGAATTCATTTGTATCCTTTGGGTCCACATCTGAACCTGAGCCATCACCCTCAACACGACGTCCTCCAACGTTGGACGATGCACCACCTTCAGCAGAGCGCACTGAGCTAGCTCCCGGGTAAACCCCTTCCACTTGGGGAGATCTCCCCGATAAAATGGCGTCAGCCATAAATACGGGCATGGGAGCTGTCTGCGACGCCCTGCTTCTATCAGCGTCCATGGCCACGCCCTTCCCAAGTTCCAGCCTCCTCTTTTTTCTTGATAACAGCTCATCCTCGTTAGAGGATTCGCCCAAAGGATGTGGAGCCGGTACCGAAGAAGCCTCTTCCCTCACGACTACAACTCGAGAAGGACCTTCTAATTGAATAGGTTGAGGACGACCCTATCGAACAGACTCACTCAATACAAACTGCGCGTCTGCAGCAGCAATGACCTGTCGAAACGCAGGGACTGGCACCCTTCGCCTGGAAACTCCTCGACCTGTCACCACAAAGGGTCGTATTAATAAACAAGGTCATACGGCCAACGAAGTGGTAAGGGAAATATTTACCAGAAGAGACTTTAGGGCCGTAACGCTTCACGAAGGCGGGCCAACCTCGAGTCTTTGCTGCATGAGGCAACAGACGGGCTACCCAATCCCTGATATCCGCAATAGGGCGAGGCGGACGTCCCATAGCTGCAAATGGGAAGCAAACAAATTTTATAGTGAATACAGACGAAAGAAGAGTAAAACGAGTGGCGACATTTACGAGTCTCATTCCATCGCTCCGGAAATCTGGCGGAGTCAGAAACGATATGTTCAGTTTTGACAAAGAAATAGTTATGCCAAAACTTGCGACTTGCCCGGTCATCCATCCCGACCAGTAGCCCTTTCGTACCACGGAGCCTCAAATGCACCATGGTACCCTTGTGGAAGCCAGGCGTGAACATGTGCAAAAGGTGGTGGATAGATATGTTACATTCCGCCAACTCTGCATACTTGGCCAGCAGCAGAAGTATCTTGAGCGTATACGACAAAAGTTGCGCCGGACAAACTTGGTAGAACCTACAGAATTCTTCCTCTAAGGGGAAGAGAGGAAGAGTATAGCCAATCATGAAAGGGTACTCATAGAAAGCGCAATACCTAGGTCTGTGAACATCTACATAATCTCTCCCCACCGGAACCATATCTACGTAAGCGGGAATGCCGTACTTTACACGAAGAGCATCAATATGAACTTGCTCCGTCTCAGAGAATACGGGGTCCGGAGTAGGAGGGGGATCTTAGAGGAAGTCACTTCGAGATAAGGGATGCCTCGGCAGCAGCTCCTCCACCGTAGGAAGGTTGTCACCCTCTTCCCCCACCGTATCACCACCGCCAGAAGGGGGTGTGCCGTGGACAATGGGGTGGCCTCAGGAACCTCTTCACAAGAACGACGAGACCTTGGCATGATATCGGTCAAAGGGGTATCAACACAAGAAGAAGGAAGAAGAAGAAGTTTCAAATGAAGAACGTAAGAAGAAGTAGAAGGGTATGAGGGCAAGTTCGGAAGAATGAAGGAGGTTATCAAGAGTGGAATGGCCAAAAACTTTCGAAAAAACAAACCCTTCCCCTATTTATAGGGTTGGGTGGCGCCAGAATCGAAGCGGAGAGCCACAAAATAGCGCTAAAACCGAAGCATCAAACCATCAACTCCTGCCTCGAAAATATGCGTGATAATGACGTACATAAAGATGACATCATTTCCCGGTAAAGTATATTACCGGGTGTCTTGCCAAGCATGCCAATCTTCCTCCATTGGCCATTTTGTAACGTCACAACGACTCAAATTTCTCCATAGGAACACATGGTGTCCGCTCATTGAGGACGCACCCAGTTGCGACCCCGACTAGCGGAGAGACTAACTATATGGGTCCAAATTTGACCGACCACGACCGACGACGAGTATGACGATTGACGGAGCCTCCTTGAATTGACGCCATAAGGGAGACGACCCTGAGACATACCAGAGATGGGACGACCCTTGTGATAGTGTATGGCCATCAGGGGACGTTGGGAATATTACTATTTATGATAAAAAAGAAACCTCATGACCGATTTTTTCATTTTGTCTATTGATCTTTCTAGAGATTATTATCCTCAGCTAAGATTTACCCCTTCATCTTTGACTGATTTGCTCAAAAAGGTTTTAATATCTTTTGAGTCAAACAGTCGGTCAAGTCGGGATACTGAAATTATGGAGGTCTTTGCTTGGTGCTCCGTTTATCCAAATTTATTCGGCAATATTAATTAAACTAGCGAAGCTAATATGTTTTTTATAGATCTTTTCAAATAAATTTAACTTTTTTTTAATTATAAAACTAATAGGTGAGCAGGTGTGACTCGACGAATTTTGTAGCCTAAAGCCAAACTTTATGAGGAGCCTTAACTTTTTTTAAATTTTATTTATTTATTTATTTGAAGTCTATTTTTCCAGCTTTTCTTAGATACAAAGTTATTAATAATTTTCTTATAATCAATAGCTCCTAATAAGTATTTCTCAATTGACAATATAACTAATCCACTTAACCTTTCTTGAGACATTGTTGATCTTTGGTAAGATTTTATTAATTTAATTTTAAAAACTTCTTTCCATTGAAGCATTGGTAACATGACTTATTAACATTATTCCATAAGCAATATAGGCATTTGGAAAAGAATCAGATCTTTTTCTTTGATTGAGTATATCAATTAAACTATTATCGTCTAATTGTACTATTTTTCTTAATACTTTTAATTCAGAAAATAAATCTAGACCATCAAAATCAAATTGATTATTCTGCTTTAAGTTAAGATTAAGGCAATATTTTTTTCAAATTTTCATCATCTAATGATCTTAGCTTTTACCGCTAAATAAAAAATCAAAAATATTTTCATATGCTTCAAATTGCTCAAATCTATTTTGAAATGAAAAAATAGTCTTGTCAACTACATATAAAAGTAATCTATGGTAACATAGGAGACATTATATTTTCTCTTAGGGAATTTTTAGAATTTCCACTGGTTAGCTTTTAATTCACTCCATCATATGAAATGTGAATATCCCTTCCTCTAAAGAACTCTTCGAAAGATTCTGAGATTTCATTATCAACATTCTCATCAAATTGTTACTTCCTATATATCACACGTTTCTTACGAAATTTGGGATCGATATTCATTTCAAGTGCAAATTTCCTTGGCAAAAATATTAGCAGTTGCAAATCCTTCTTCTCTATATTTGTTAAAGAAAAAAATCGAATTTTTTCACTTCACAGAACTTTTTGCTAAACTTATACACAACCTATTAGGTGTAATAAAAATGGGGCTCCCATAAATGTGAGGCCTAAAATAGTCGCTTTACTTGATTTA